TAGGTTGCAAAATGTTGTGGATTGTCACTTTAAACAGGAAAGGCAGCCCCCTGTAAAACATAAGATGAGAGGTTTTTCTGTTGGCAGCGTTTGTAGTTGAATTTATTTTGCCTTAAACCATCTTTGACTGCTCTCATGTCGAGCCTGCCTCTCTTATTCCGAGATCTGATCTATCTGAGGCAGCTGCTCCTCTTGGAAACAGTTGATAGAGGTGTATCTGAGCTGTCATTTCGGCACTGTTTGGGGATTTGTCAGTTAAAGCCAAGTCAGCTAAGCTCACTTTCACTCACTCTCAGCTGAGCTTCGCTTGTCTGACAGCATATAATGTTTCTTTTTAACACTGCCTACAGTTTTTTATTTATTTTTTCTTGTTTTTCTTGTATAAGATTCAGTTCCCTGCAGGCGACAGTTTGGCAGAGCACAAGACCTTTTTCCCATGCTTTAGACATCAAAGAAAGAAATCTGTTGGGGGACTGATTTTTAAAACAGAGGCTGGAGGTTTGGGGCAGCTGGGTGATGGGAGGGTAAAGAAAGAGTTGAAAGAGGAGGCAACTAAAGGGTTTCTGCAAAGATCAATCAGTTGGGAGCGGTCAGTTTTCTCCCACTAGAGACTCTGTGTTTGTTGACATAGACACGTACAGAAAAGATGTGGCTGCCCTTCCCTTCTCCACCTGACTTTTCAGTGCCACTGTTTTCCCTTGTGCATGCTGTTGCCTTATTTCTGAGCAATTTCCAGCAGGTGCCTCTGTCTGTGTTGTCACAGCAGGATCCACGTCATTTTGTGCAGAGTCGATGCTAACTCATGCCTGGGTGTGCCTCACAGTAAAGCTTCGGCCTTTACAGTGAAGCTGGAGAAAATATTGAGGTTTGCTAACTTTAACAAAACTTTACAAACAAAATATGGATGAGATAAATGTTGAAACACCCCTTTAAGGAAAACTACTTTGGTTTTACATTCATAGCTTCACATTGCACTCATAGAGTAATTCACAGCAGAATAGCTAAAAAATTGGTCAAAAGGGCCAAAAAAAAACCACAAGCAGTCAGCCAATCACACAGTTAGTAAACAAACCAACTGGTTAGTCAAACTTATTTGGAAAAGAAATAAAGACAAACAGTAAAATTATTCCCAGAAACATCAGTCACCGATTACACACTGACTTTCCGGTACAAGTTTCATACATGGGCCTGTGCATTTAAGGGTTATTATTGACATTACTGGTGTGCTTTTTTTTGTTTTACCTCCAAATAAAATGGAATCTCATCTAGCTTAAGTTTGCTTGTTTACAACCTGAATGATCATCTAACAGTCCATGTTTGGACCTATTCCTAGTCATGAAACCATGTTCTGAGATCTGAGCAATTACTGAAGTGAGTACATGGTGGTTCTGCTGTATACATTTTGCAGCTGCGGCTGTAGTGTCATTTAGTTGCAATTACACCACTTTGCAGAGGGTTTTTAATTTGAAATGATGGATAAATAGGCAACACATGGGGGAGAAAGAAAGAAAAAATAGTGAAAGAGAAGAGAGAGAAAGATAGATTAAACAAGCTAACCCTAACGATAAATGACATAGGACCGCTGGTGTACTACTCACCTTCACCACCCATGTACAACAAAACCCTTGGGACTGGCCATCGGGCACACCGGGACAAATCCTGATGGGCCGCCGTGTTCGGGGTGTGTGTTCTCCTGCTGGAAAAAATCAAAGCCACAACACTGGTACAATGGTATTATTATGATAAATAGAATCAATGGTTTTACCAATGAAAATCCAGTCAAAGTTGTAAAACTATGTAGTTTTCCTTTAACAAAGAGGAACAAGTAGAACAGATCAGAAAACATCAAGAACTAACTCACATCTCATTGTTTGAGACCAGACAGAAATATTTCCACGTTCCAATTTCTTTGCCCAATTAAGCAATATTAAAATCCTCACCTACTATCATCATCCTCATCCTCATTATGTTGCTTCTGCATGGTTAAAATCTCACTTGCACTGACATGTGGCCATTACTAACAAGTGCAGTGAATATTTTAAGTAATTGGGAATAAGAGGACCCACTGCCAATGCATTGTGTAATATCACTTAAACATCTCTGGAAAATTAAAGCAGATTTAATGCATCCCTAATAAGCTGACCACATGGACCTTACATCTTCGCAGCAGCAGACTGGATCAGATATCTGGTAGAAAGTGTCCAATTCTGTGTGTGTGTGTGTGTGGGGGGGGGGACTGAATGAGTCACTGCAGATAGCCATGTCTGGTATTTTGACAGTCTGCTAAGCAGGATTGACAAAGACACCATCCACACCACAAGACCTCAGCTAGTCTGGCTCCCAGAGAAGAGGCCAAATCAAATACCACAGAAATGTCACTGAGTGTATAAACGGAACCCCTGATTTCTAGTACGAAAACACACAGACACACAAATATACACATCGATGCAAAACGAGCATGCACTGAAACAAAAAACCGACATGCGTTTGGACAGAGACAACTGGGTAATTTGCATAATCTTCACCTAATTTCTTTCTCTTGCTCTTGTTGTCCGTTGTCTCACTGTGATGAATTACTCCAAATTTCCATCCACTAATTGCCCAATTATGAAGCGGCACTGGCTGAGATTTCTGTTGCTTCCTTTAGCCACTTGACATTTCAAGTTCACTGCATTAAGCAACGCCGAGTGTCAATTCCCTAATTAACCTTCAAAAATTCAGCCATATATCAGACTTTATTTTTGAATCATCTTGAAAAATTTTAAAAATGTGGCACAATTTTAATGGTAATGAAGTAACTTACTGAGCTTTAATGAAGGTTTTTAGAGAACAGCCAAAACATGATTACTTTGCTCAGTGACTACACTCATGTTAAGGAGCTACTTGTAAGTTTTGCTATTGCTACATAGCTAACTTTAGTATTAAGATCTCTTTCATTACCAGTCTAGAAGCAACGATATCAGTTCAGCCTCAAACTTCATTCCTTTACTCACCAGGAGCTGTCTCCAGAGGTGGAAAGCAAAACCAGTGATAACTCTTGTCTCTATCATGTCTTTTCTTCTACTGCAGTTAGCATGCTAACCAGCTAGCCCTGGCCCGTCACTTTCTGATAGCAAGTCACTGTAGTGTCCAATCACCACCACCTGCTCCCGGGAAGAAACCACATTCGGTGGCAGACAAAACTTACAAACAGTCCTTTTAAGAAACTTTTTGCAACAGAAAGTCACCTTTATACAAGATTGTGTGCATGGGTTTTTGGCAGAGCACTCACTACCAGAGACTTAAACCACTCAGTTTCGGTTTTTTGTTTTCTCTTTCCGAAGTGGTGATGTAGTCTGCAATCTCTTGTATGGTTGTAAAAGCTTGTGAGTCCAGTTGAAAAAAGCTTTGAAAAAAGCCATACAGTCTTCATGTTGATGAACTTACACATCATCCTCTGATGAAGGTTTCAGGTCATAACAAAAATATTTAAGCATTGATGATGCTGTTTGCCTCTGTATTACGTGGTGGACAGCTCGTCGGGAGCACCGAGTCATCAACAGGCAACTTGACCAGCCATGATATAAAAAGCAGCAATGAGTTGACGGACCTCTTGCATCAGCTCCCTGACATGCTGCGGTGCACAGTGTGAGCCCACTTTCTCCTGTAATAACCTGCAATATATTTATAATTGAAATTATATACTTTTTTTTCATATTTTTTGGTCAGTCACACATTTATGTATTTGGAAATGTTGATCATTTTCCTCCCAGATGAATGTAGTGGCCAAATATAGAACTAGTCTGGTACTCTGGTACTTTGATGATGGTTTGCATGAGGGTGGCTGGGGATGAAGTCAAATTCCCAGCCTGAATTATTGTTTCAGTCCGCTCCTGTCTATGGGTATACAGAAATAGTTCTTTACAATAAAGACATTTTTTGGAGAGCCACCTTTTACTTCTTGTTAAGCATATTGATCCCTCTCCTTGCCAGGCTACACAGCAAAGTGGTGTGAATGTGAATGCAGAGTCTCAAAGACTAGGTTCATATCAATAACTTGACTATTCAGGGCAACATAGAGCTATTAAAGTACTGTCAGCACTTGCTCTCACAGTGGACGGCATATCAAACTCAAACCTCTGGCCTCTCGCCTGGAAGCAATTTGTCACGCTACTTTTTGCTCTAATTGGTAAAAGACAGGGTTACAGCGTCCGACAGACACGCTGCTGGTTTCATGACATCAAAGATCTTTTGGATGACCTCCTCAGTCACCAGATGTAAATATAATACAGGATTCATGGGGGAAAGACTAACTTTCACTTTCTAACCACGACAATTTCCAGTGGCTTTCAGTCACTGCATTGTGATCTGCAGTGTTTTATCTGCCCAGCTGTGTTCTTTTGTCATCATAAATTAGATCAAGTGTGGAGCTTAACTCATACAATGTTCCCCCTTCTTCAGGTTATTGTGTATTATCTCTTTTGCTCCCAAACTTATTTCTTCCCATTTACCTGCTCTGCAGGATATTGTAAATCTTTTCACTGTCAGTAGCATCCAATCTCTCCCCACCAAGAGAACTCTATTTTTGTCTCAAACTTAGTTCCCCCTGCATCCGCCTCACACAAGAAAATGTTTGTTATAATAGTATTACCTCCTGTCTCCTCCTCACACTGTTTTCATTTGAAGTATTATTTTTACTGGGGATTGAAGGTAACCTGGCTTTCAATGTGTGTCACTGAGCTTCTTGTCCCATATTCCCTTATAAATATTAGAGAAATCTATGAGGAAGTCTGTACTTGCCAATTAATTTGAATAGTTGATAGTTGATTCCCCCCATAGTCAAATCACAACTTCCTTAACCTTTATTTATTTTTGTCACATTGAAACCCTAGAGAAACAGGCTTGGTGCCGATTTTGCATCTTAAAATACATTTAGAAACATTGCCAGGCTGCAATTCTGTTTTGCATCATAATCCTTTTTATTTCTTTGAATGTCTGACCTATTTTATTCTCTGTTTCAGGATATTCTATGTGTCTCATGACTCCCAGGATCTGAAGATCTTCAGTTACATCGCCAGAGACGGACAGAGCAATGTCTTCCGCTGTAACGTCTTCAAGTCCAAGAAGAAGGTACGACAGGCAGGAGACCTGTTTTATGCTTTCACCTTTTGACCTGTGATGAATCCCTGAAATGTTACATGAATGCAGTGCTTGATTCAGGGTCGAGGTCTATAGCTCTTCTTGAAAAATGTGGCCTGACTCCGACTGTGTTCACTGGATCCACTTGGGTTTAGACACAAACACCAAGCTCTGAAAACTCAGAGTAAGTGTCTGAAACAGGAAACTCTTAAGGGAAATCCCATGAGGCATTTAGGTATTTGATTGTTGGGATTGTTGAACACACTGATGGTCAGGTTTAAAGATCACATATTTTACCCTAAAAGTTTTAAGAACTAAAAACCATCTCAGTGTAGTTTTACATCTCTCTCAGTCTTTTCTCTGTAGTTACACACAGATGAGAAGAGAGGCTCAGGTCATGGCTGAATGCAGGATGTGTGCATTTCTCTGTTGACTGAGCGCTTTGATACTTACACAGTATTAATATAGAACCTAGACCTGCTTTATAATCAAACAACACAAGGACATCTACCTTTATACTATATGGGACCATAAAAGATTTTATTCTTTGCATTGTTAGTAGTAGGATGCTCTTTTTGAATCTTAACTAGCAGTGCCACTGAAGACACATGCAACCCAAGAAACCAATCTCCATTTTTTCCAGTGGGGTTCTGGTTCCCTCGAGCAAGGCACTTAACACCAGAGTGCAGCTGCTCAGTGGCTGTGCTTACAAGTTAAAATGAAAATATCATAGCTTGTGTGTTTTAGACTCTAGACTCTGACTGCACATTCAGTTTTTCTAATGCAAGTGCATCAGTGTGTAATATGTTGTTGCCAGAAGAAAAGAAAGGATCATGTCATCAACTTTATCAGCATTATTTTTCAGTAGCATGAACCAGATTAGGTTTGACAAAATTAATGTAAGAAGAAAAAGACTTAGAGTCAGAATTTTTGTTTTTGCACAAGTTGCAAAAACCAACTCATCAAACTTTGTTTCTGTGTTATGGCGAGATGGGAAAAGCCAAAGTGTGTCATTCTCAGTGTTTTCACAGTCTGTTAGTTGCGTAGTGTTTAAAGCAATTCCTCCTCCTCCTCCACTCTTAAATCATGTCACTGTCTGAGTCACATCCTGACAACCTCCAATAAAGAGACACACGGCTGTCGAGCAGCAGTGATACCTCCGGGCATCGCAGTCTTGTCAGTGTTGAGGTCTGAGGAGCAAGTTTTTAGTCGGTTTGGAGAGGTTGTGTTGCTGCAGAGCTAAGCAGAGACAAAATCCAAACAGAGTCCAGTTGTGTGACACAGTTGGATAGAAAATGTGCTCATTTTTCCTCTTTAGCTGCCAGTTCGTAGAAGTTGATGCTGAAGTCCAGGGGTTAGCCGGGTGAAGCACGCACCGCCTCGTTATCTATAACAGACAGAGCGACACTGAAACATGAGCGCGCACACACACACACGCATGCACACACATTCTGTTCGGAAGACGAAATGGAAACTGACACATACCAAAATTCTCTGGGGCAACAATGGCCCTTAAGCCATTAAGCTGGTAACTTTATCTAGTAAGCTGGTAAGCTATCTTTTTTACAGTATAGTGGTGATGGACACACAATGGGAAATATTGATTTTAATGGAAAACTTCATTATGTTTTGAGGCAAAACTCAGCTTGAAAGGAGCTGCCATTGTTTCAAACAGTTATCATTGAGTTTCTAATATAGTTTGTTTTTGAGGGTTTGTTTTTTAGGTGGGGAAATGTTTTTGTTGTGGCTGTCTGGTGATTGACAGAAGGAGGACACCCTGCGCTACGAAAACACTTGCACTGGTGCAAAGAAACAAAGTTAACAAAGTAAAGAAAAGTTAATTTGGTTCAACTGTGAGGGATCTCTTTGGCCACTTGGGGGAATCACAACAAGCTGTAAACTCATTACCATAGTTCCACTTTACGAGGCTGATATAGCAGAACATGGAATATGTCGCCTATTTACTCATCCAGTCAACACGGTGCAATTATTATTTCTCTAACATTTATTATTAGCTTTTATATGGAGTCATTTAAAAGTCGGCAGATAAACAAAAGATCCACAAGGCCTAACATCTGACATTTTATTCCTTTAAATATCACGGTTTGCATTATGACTGGAAAAGAAAATAATCTTTTAATTATTCAGCAACTGCTTTATTGGCAACTGCTGCCACGTTCATTACAAACCTTCACAATAAAACTTCCCATTTCCTACAGGTATTCTTTCACATAGCCCGTTATTTGGCTAGCTAGATATGTTGTAACCAGTACAACAAAAGTATTAGTACTTATAACTTAACAATTATTAATACCGGTACATAACAACACCCCTTGTACAAACCATTTATTAATTATTTATATACTGATAATTAAGTGCCAAATAGGGGCTCTTAAATTTAAGTGTCACCTATATGTATCTGGGAATGTGTTACTCCAATTGACACATCACATAACAGTCATTTCAGTCATTACATATATAAAAATATTTATCTGTGCAGCTTTAAATATAAGAAAACTTATAAAATAATTTTATGATGATAAAATAGAACATTAGGTCCAAACAGTATTCATACATATCCAGTATAATTCTGTCTTTTAACGTCTTTGGAGATGCTGGAAATAAGTGTTTTCACTTTAACATGTCCATAAATCACATTATGTGAGCACATTAACATAATTACTAACCAGCATTTTCAGTCAAGTATGTGCCATAAGGAAAGAGAGGAGATGAAGAGGAGAGTAAAGAGAAAGTTAAAAAAAAAAATTAAAAAAAAAAAGGTAAAAAATAAAAAAGTGACACAATGACAGAAGGGGAAAGTTTCAGAAAATTGATTGAGCAAGACAAAAAGAGAATGAAACACTCTGCCATAATGAAAAAGGGATATACATATCAAACATGCAGTAAAAGTGTCATCCGAAGCAGTGTGTGGTTTTGTGCAAGTGTGTTTTGACGTGTGGAAGGTTGCGAGTGTAAGATTGAGTACAAGATTAAGCAGACTTTATTTCCCTCTTAACTACCCGCAGTGAAAAAATGGCTGTGCTTTAAATCACGGCAGCATAAAAAGACTTTAGTGGCCTATCACTTCTCACACTTAGACAGGCCTTGTGTGCGTGTCTCTCTCTCTCCCATTGTCACCCATGCGCTCTCGCTCTTTCCCTCCTTTCTTCCTCGAATCGACAGTTTAAAGGAAGCTAATGAATGACCTGGCCTCTGTTATGTAGAACTGAAGTGAGCGAGAGCAGAAACCAGGGAGCCTTCATCAGAATACTGAATTAGATGGAAGACACTTTATTGATCCCACGGAGGGAAATTTCGCTGTTACAGCAGCAAATATAAACACAAATCAGACAATACAAAACAGCATGAAAGCACAAGATAAAAGGACATAAATAACTACATAAATACACAATGTACTATACACACAACAAAAAGTTTAAGAGCTGAGATGTAACTGTTTCAAAGTGACAAGTACACACAGCATGGGGTTGAGCGGTTCAGTGTGAATAGATATGGCATATAGCATTAAATCATTATTATTATACTAGTAATAATTATAGAGCACTCATGCAGGGAGGCTGAGGCTGCCTCTATAGTCCAGATGTGAGTGTGAGAGCCAGCTGTGACTTCTGCCATAGAGTGTGACCGCTGTAGGGACAAAGGATCTGCGTGGGTGGAGCTGCCCAGGGCACACAGGGACTCCCTTCAGGGGGCGGGAGGCGTTGTCCAAGATCTTCCTCTCACTCGCCACCTCCACGGTGTCCAGGGGACAACCTCAGCCCCGCTGATGCCACTGTCCTGGCACACAACTGCAATAAAGATAGCTGATGCCACTACTGAGTCATAGAAAGCCTTCAGAAGTGGTCCCTGTTTGCCCCCCCCACATACCCCCACCCCTCCGACTGTCTGCTGCTGAGACACTCCTCATGCCTCTCCAGACATCACTTATGCTGTTTAGTTAAAGTTTCTCCTCCATCTTCGTCCTGTTACAGTCCTCACCCTCATTAATCCTCCACTCAGATCAGCTGTGACCCAGGGCTTGTTGTTGGAGAAACACTGCACCCACGTACAGGGCACAGTGTTCTCCACACAGAAGTTAATGTAGTCAATTATACAGCGTGTAAGACTGTCCTCCATGTGTGGCCCACATAGAACATCCCAGTGTTTTCACTCGAAGCATCTGTCTTAGCTCGGTCTGCCTCATCAGACCGTCTCCTCAGTGTTTTGGTTGAAGCTGGTTGTTGCTGAATCAGGGGTTCGTATGTAGACAGGAGGTGGAGATCTGCCCAGGAGAGGGGCAGGGGGAGCAGAGCCGAATGCGTCCTTCACCGGAATGCTGTCTCAGGCTGCGTCCACACTACTGCGTTTTCGTTTTAAAACGCCTTTTCCTACATTTCCTCCTGTTTTCACATTACTCCAGAGTTCTGAGCCCTGAAAAGACTTTTGGAAACACTGCTGATCTCGTTTAGTTTGAAAACGCCAGGGTTGCATTGTAGTCGAGACTGGCAAAAGGGGAAAGGGGCAAAAGCCTTGACTACCAGTGGTGAAAGCGACATGGATAACGAAGTACAGACCATGTTGTCTTTGCTAGCAGCAGCTGTTCAGTTAAACTGTCTTTGCTGTTCCTTGTTTGTAGTATTTTGTGCAGCTAACCAAATGCAGAGTAAACAGTCTGCTTCCTGTTTGCATTGACACGCACACACGAAGATCATTTTCATTTTAAAATGGTATACTAGTGTGGACGTAGCCTCAGCTGTGTATAAATCCCTAACATGACAGCATTTCAGTGCGTTTTCACTGATCAGGTCTGATTTCAAATTCCGGCGTAACGCCCAAGTAAATCAGAATTTTTCAGGCTGATATATGAGAAGTTATCACCTTTTTTTTTTTTTTCTTTTTTTTTGTAAACACACAATCTGTGGATGGAGTGCAACACTGTGCGGTGCTCATATTCACATAGCTTGAAAACTCTCCAATTCCCGGGCTTGAGA